AGTTCAAGCGATTCTCCTGCTTCAGCCTCCTGAGTAGCTGGAATTACAGGTGCCCATCACCAGACCCAGCTAATTTTTGTGGGGTTTTTTGTTTTTTTGAGACAGAGTCTCACACTGTTGCCTAGGCTGGAGTGCAGTAGCGTGATCTCGGCTCACTGCAACCTCCGCCTCCCAGGTTCAAGGGATTCTGCTGCCTCAGCCTCCCGAGTAGGTGGAATTACAGACACCTGCCACCACGTCTAGCTCCTTTTTTTTTTTTTTTTTTTTTAAATTTTTAGTAGAGATGAGGTTTCACCATGTTGGCCAGGCTGATCTCGAACTGCTGACCTCAGGTGATGCACCCGCCTCGGCCTCCCAAAGTGCTGGGATTACAGGCGTGGGCCACTGTGTGCAGCCCCAATTTCCTTTTGATGACCAAACTGACTTCAAGCTCCACTCCTAAGGACTGTGGGACGGGCGTTCTCCCTCTCCAAGGATCCTCCCACCTCAAGAACCCTGGGAGCACCAGCTTACCCCAAGGCTGCCAGTCAACGTCCAATAGGATAGCCACCAACTACATGTGACTATTTGAATTAATGAAATAAAATTTAAAATTCAGTTCCTAGTTGTATTCGCCCACCTGGCTAGTGGCTACTGTACCGGACAACACAGCTCTAAAGTCTCTGCGGCATGAAGCCAGAGCCTCAGAAAGCTGCTAAGCCTGGGCTGCACCCCACAGAGACTCACCGTCACTGGTTCCATGCAGGGGCCTCACGAGAAAGCCCCGTAACACCACTCTCCACCTGCCGTACTTACTCTACGGGTCTTGAATGCTGGTGATTCCATGAAGTACAGTAGGTATTGGTAGGGGTCTCCGTGACCATTCACATTGGTGGTCTGGGATCCCCAAGCAAATGCAACATAGGATGCAGACTCCTTTGGTCACCAAATCATCCTTTGAACTAGTTGAAGGCCGAAGAAGGTCTTTTAATATAAAGCTGGCCAATGTGCTTTGATTATAATACGGCAGTCTGAGTATGAGCACATGGAAGACATCTGCAGTGCAGTAGTGTGACTGAGTCTTACCAAATCTTCTGAAAGGTTTGAGGGATCACTTGTGCTGGACAGCTGGTGCTGAAAACCTGGCAGCTCACGATACCACTAGAACTAGTGGCTGGGCGCGGCGGCTCACACCTGTAATCCTGGCACCTTGGGAGGCCAAGGCAGGTGGATTATTTGAGGTCAGGAGTTCGAGGCTAGCCTGGCTAATATAGTGAAACCCTGTCTCTACTAAAAATACAAAAAAAAGTAGCAGGGCGGCTGGCGCATGCCTGTAATTCCAGCTACTCAGAAGGCTGAGGCAGGAGAATTGTTTGAACCCGGGAGGCGGAGGTTGCAGTGAGCCGAGATCACACCACTGCACTCCAGCCTGAGTGACAGAGTGAGACTCCACCTCGGAAAAAAAAAAAAAAAAAAAAAAGAAAGAAAGAAAAAGAAAAAGAAAAAAAAGACTAGAACTAGATTCCGTTGGTCCCAGAGACCAGGGGCCTGGAGGCATCTCTCTGTAAACACTGGAGACAGAGGACAGGTCCCCAGGTCCTGCAGCTGCTGAAACTTACGGTAGAAGGGACAGGCCTCCACTGAGCCGCTGAGGTCTACAGAACCTGAAGGCTGCCCTGCCAGTGCCACCCAGTTTTGCTACCACAAGCCCCAATCTGAGAGATCCTTGCCTATCTGGGCCCTGGGTCTAGAGAGGCAGCATAAACGCTTGCTTTGGTTCTACGCATATCTTATCAAGGTCTCAAGCTGACCTCCATGTTGCTAAATCCAATGGTCAGTTTCAATAACTGTTAGATGGGCTCATCAACGTAATTTGACACAACGGGCTCCCTCCAGACCTTTAGAACTCCTTTTTTTACTCCTTTGGATCTTTAGGTGCCACTCCTTCTTGGTTCTTACCTACTTCCTTGGCCATTCCTTTTCAGTCTACTCTGCTGGTTCCTCCTGCAGCCCCCACCCTCTTTGTGTTAGAGGACCCCATGGCCTGGTCCTTGGACCCCCCTCTACCTACACTTCCTTTCCTGGTGATTTCATCCAGCCTCCTAGTTTTGAATAACATCTGTACTCTGATGCCTCCCGAGTTACTATCTGCAGCCACCACTTCTCTGATCTCCAGACGCTGATGGCCAACTGCCAATTCCAAGTCCTGTGGATGTGTGGTAGGAATCTCCAAAGTTGTGTTTCCAAAACAAAAGTCTTGATTGCATCCTGCCTACCCAGATTGCTCCTCTGAAGTCTTCTCCATCTCCATAGGTACCAACTCCAACCTTCTAGAGCCTGGCCAAAAACCTTGCAGGCCATTACTTGGCTCCTGACTTAGCCCACATCCAATCCATCAGCAAAGCCTGCTGCCTCCATCTGTAAAATACATTCGGGATCCAAACACTTCTCTGTTTTTTTCTCATCACATTCATTGCTTCTATTCTTGTCCAAGCTACTATTGTTCTCTTTTTTGACACAGGGTCTCACTCTGTTGCCCAGGCTGGAGTGTAGTGGTGCAATCTCAGCTCTGCCTCCAGAACTCAAGCTATCCCAACCTCCGCTCCCAGAGCTTAAGCGATCCTCCCATCTCAGCCTCCTGAGTAGCTAATTGCATGCCACCATGACCAGCTAATTTTTTTTAGAGATAGGATTTCGCTATGTTTCCCAGGCTGGTCTCAAACTCCTGGATTTAAGTGATCTGCTCACCTTGGCCTCCCAAAGTGCTGGGATTACAGGTGTGAGCCATCACACCCGGCTCATGATCATTCTCTTGCCTGGATGATTGTCCTGGCCTCCTAACTGGTTTCCTGGGGCCTTTGCTTCCCAAAGTCCATCTTCCACGTGGCATCCAGGAACCATCTCACTCTGTTCCCGCCTCCTTGCTGATCTCGGAACACTCCAGTCATGGTCCTATGTCAGGACTCTTTCATTTGCCGTTCCCGGCCAGGACTGCTTCGCTCCTAGATGCCCACGTGACTTGTTCCTCCTTTCCTCGTGTTCCCTGATCAAATACCTGCCGATTGACAAGGCCTTTTCAGATCACCCCCACCTGCTCACTTGCTTTCCTGCCTGTCCACATATTTACCATCAGAACAGAATTCTGCCTGACCGTTTATTGTCCGTCTCCCCCAGCAACCACTAGAATGGAAGCTCCATGTGGGCATGGCTTAGTTTTGTCCACTGCTGGATCTCGGCATCTAAAATAGTCTACCGCCTGGTAAGTGTTGCAGAAACATTGATGAACAACAAACCAGTACTGGCTACTCCGCCTCTGCCTGTGCTCGTCCTATCTTCCACCTGAAAGGTTCTCCCCACTGTAACTTCACCCCGCACCCTTCGACCAGTCAACGATCCCCACACCTTGGCCCACTCCAAACCCCTTAAAATCCCTGGACCCAAACTCCTCAGGAGGCAGATTTGAGGTTTCCCCCCATCTTCTCATGTGGCTGCCCTGATTTAAACTCTTTCTCTGCTGCAGTCCCTGATGTCTCGGTATACTGGCTTGTGGCACATCAGGCAAATGAACCTATCAGATAACAACGGCAGATCAGATGCCTGAGCATTCAAGAGCGATGGCTGTGGCATCCCCGTGGGTTCAGAAGGCCTAGTTCCTGTCTCCAAAAGCCTGGCTCTCCTCCCTCCTGGGCCCACTACTTTGGCTTCTTGTTCCTGTGTACAAGGAATTGCCGAGAAGGCAACTCTTCCCCTCCCTGAAGCCAAAGGAATGAAACAGACTAGGGCAGGAGAGGCCGCCATCCACCATCCTTAGTTGTGACCGTCAGTAACAGCAACAGGACATGGAACCTAAGGCTGTGTCCATCCTGGGCCCCCAGGGAAACCTCAGCAGGAGTGGTACTAAGAAAGTGCTCATTTCTTACAGCCAAAGGACCATGGAGGGGAATAGTAACCGTCCCCTCCCAATGCAGAAAATGTTAACATAAGCACTTCATTTCTCATGCAGATAACTACATTAGTCTATTAATAAAAAAGAAAGAGAGAGAGAAAGAAGGAAAGAAAGGATAGAGAAAAAGAAAGAGAGAGAAAGAAAGAAAGAAAAGAAAGAAAGAAAGAAAGAAAGAAAGAAAGAAAGAAAGAAAGAAAGAAAGAAAGAAAGAGAGAGAGAAAGAAAGAGAGAAAGAAAGAGAGAAAGAAAGAGAGAAAGAAAGAGAGAAAGAGGGAAGGAGAACCCATGCCAGCAGGTTATACGAATTGGTCTATAGAAGAAAGGGTCACCCACTGAAAGGTGGGCTGAAGAGAATTCCTCACCTGGGCTTTGAGGTCCTGGGATGGAGAAGGCTGTAGAAATGCTGGGATGAGTGGAACCCTCAATAAACAGAGTTCTTGTTAAAGAAGCAGAGTCATTGGTGGAATGGACTGCCCGTCTAAGTTCAATCTACGCTAAAGGACGGCAGAGATCAAGAGAGAGAAAGCAAAAGCACCCATGGCCGGGCATGCGCAGTGGCTCACACCTGTAATCCCAGCACTTAGGGAGGCCGAGGTGGGCGCATCACTTGAGGTCAGGAGTTTGACACCAGCCTGGCCAACATGGTGAAACCCCATCTCTACTAAAAATACAAAAATTAGCCAGGCGTGGTGGCAGGCACCTGGAATCCCAGCTACTCGGGAGGCTGAGGTGAGAGAGTCGCTTGAACCGGGAGGCAGAGGTTGCGATGAGTGGAGATTGCACCACAGCACTCCAGCCTGGGCGCTAGAGTGAGACTCTGCCTCAAAAAAAAAAAAGAAAGGCACCCAGATCCTAGAACATATAAATACTTCCAACGCGAGGACCGCGGGGTAGCGCCCCCGGGAGGTGCAGGTCATTGTCCTTAGTGGAACCCCTTCTCTACCTGGTCACACCGGCACTAAGCCCTCGATCCTTCTGACGGACGTGGCCATGTTTGTGCACATATTTGCAGTCATCACTCCTTTCACTGTAGTAAGCTGTGCACTCAGCATCACCCATGTCTTTCTATAAATAGGAAGGAAGCTCAGAACAGCCCTCGGAAAACTGCGTGTTGACAGCGCCTGGAGTCCTGGCTGGAAGAGGGAAGGGCACTCAGCTGCTTCGCTGGAGCTGTGTCTCTCCCACCTGCCTTGAAGGAACCTCTTGGGAAGGCTGCAACTTCTGGCCTCTGGGGACCTAAAGAAGCCAACTGGCAAAGCGGTATGAAAACTAAACCAGTTCTAGGGCCAGATGCACATCAAGGCAGTTTGTGGGCCACCTGGCAGGTCTGCTGAAACACAGTGCCCCTCACCAACCTTCTCTCTCTGCAGGAACCCCCTCCTTTGAGGTAAAAGTGTTGCAGACCCCGGGAAATGCCTGGGAGACCTTGTGCCTCAGCAGAGAGAGGTGTTATGTGCACCAGATCCCCAACATGCTTTGCAAATGTTTAAGGGAGAAGACAGACGTGGGTCAGACACAACACAAACAAGGCTCTCGGGCCACCAGGCTGACGGAAGGTGCTACACAGAGACTTCTTGGCCACCTGGGGCCCCTTTGAGCCTATGAGGGATCCTGGGAGGGTAGTGGAGGGAGGACAGCAGAGGAGCACCAAAGGCAAATCAGCCCATTTCACAATATTATCGTGAGCCAGCCCTATCTTAGCCCTCTCGTTTTGAAGAAAAGCCAAATTTGTATTTTAAAAGATTCTTATGCCTGATCCATTCCCTATTGTGAAATAAGCACATTTATTACACAGAAGGAAACCTGATGTCTCTGAGACCTTGAGCAGACTATTTACAACATTTGGGCTACAAGGCAAGGTGACCTTCAGACCACGAAGTGGCAATGGCTTGCATATGGCAAGGCAGGGTCTCTCAGAGAACATGAGACACACAGGCCACCACCATGTTTTAGGGGACCTGGGATTTTGCAAAGGGAAGAAATAACAAAACAGGTTGGAAAAATGCATGCTTTAAAACATTTAAAATTTTAAGACAGAATGCTTTCTCACACACGCGTGCACGCACATGCACACACACACACTGCAACACAATATAATTGTGCCATTTACTAGTAACGATATAAACATATCTGAATGCCCCTTTGAACACAAAGCACAGTGAAATGCCCCACCTCCAGCAGACAGACCCTAGAGCAACACACCCCAAGGAAACAAGTCACAGATATATATGATTGATAGATAGATAGATAGATAGATATTATTTTTTTGAGACAGGGTCTGGCTCTGTCTCAGAAGGGTCAGGTTGCCCAGGCTGGAGTGCAGTGGCATGATCTCGGCTCTCTGCAACCTCCACCTCCTGGGCTCAAGCCAGCCTCCCACCTCAGCCTCCCAAGTAGCTGGAACTACAGGTGCATGTCAGCATATCCAGCTAATTTTTGTAGAAATGCAGTCTCACTATGTGGCTCAGGCTGCTCACTATGAGCTCAGAAGAGCTCAAGCAATCCACCCACCTCGGCCTCCCAAAGTATTAGGATTACAGGCACGAGTCACTGTGCCCGGCCATAAGTGACAGTATACTGACATAAGGCCTGCAATAGGAATCTGAGTCCCAGGATTGGACAGGTCAGCTAGCAATGCTTCCAAACACAAGTGATCTGGCAAGCTGGCAAAATGTCTGAGTTTCATTCTTTACCTTAGATCAAAGTTTCATTCTTGATTTGGATCAAAGAGGAAGGAGAAAAAGGCACAGACTGAACCCTCAACTCTTGTCACTGAAAAGTGGTACCCAAGAGATCTTAGTGCTTTGCCACCTTCTTGCTACCCCTATAGTAAAATGCTATTGATTTTTATTCTTTAAAAAAAATTACCATTATTATTATTTTATTTAAATGGGGTCTCACTATGTTGTCCAGGCTGGTCTCAAACTTCTGGCCTCAAGCAATCTTCCCACTCCAGCCTCCCAAAGTGCTAGGATTACAGACGTAAGCCACCATGCCCAACCATGACTTTTAAAGGCAGGCATACTTTATACTTTTTGTACACGCTTACAGCTCTGATTCTTTTTTTAAACATTTTTATTTATTTTTGTTGAGATGAGGTCTCACTATGTTGCCCAGGCTGGTCTTGAACTCCTGGGCCCAAGTGATCCCCCTGCTTCGGCTTCCCAAGTAGCTGGGATTACGGGTGAGAGCCACCATGCCTGGTTCAGGCTCTGATTCTTATGTCAGTGAATGCCCAATAAATTCTTGTTGGCTTGAACTGAATTATCAGGAAGGTGCTATCAAGAATTCTTTGAGCCGGGCACGGTTGCTGACGCCTGTAATCCCAGCAGTTTGGGGGTCTAAGGTGGGCGGATCACTTGAGGCCAGGAGTTCGAGACCAGCCTGGCCAACATGGCGAAACCTGGTCTCTACTAAAAAATACAAAAATTAGCTGGGCGTAGAGACACACACCTGCAGTCCCAGCTACTCAGGAGGCTGAGGCAAGAGAATTGCTTGAACGCAGGAGGCAGAGGTTGCAGTGAGCCATGATCACACAACTGCACTCCTGGGTGACAGAGTGAGACCCCGTTTCAAAAAAAAAAAAAAAGAAAGGAAGGAAGGAAGGAAGGAAGGAAGGAAGGAAGGAAGGAAGGAAGGGAGGGAAAGGAAAGGAAAAAAGAAATAGAAAAAAAAAGAAAAAGAATTCTTTGGCTGAGTATGATGGCTCTCAACCGTAATCCCAGCACTTTGGGAGGCCAGGGCAGATGCATCGCTTGAGCCCAGGAGTTCAAGACCACACTGAGCGGCATGGAAAAACCCCGTCTCTACAAAAAGTACAAAAAATTAGCCTGGGGCAGTGGTGGGCGCCTGTAGTCCCAGTTACTCTGAAGGCTGAGATGGGAGGATTGCTTGAGCCTAGGAGGTTGAGGCTGCAGTGAGCTGAGATCACACCACTGCACTCTAGCCTGGGTGACAGAGCAAGACCCTGTCTCAAAAAATAATAATAATAATTATTATTATTATTATTTGGGAGATATAATTTTACGTCATCAGAGGGTCAAAAAAACAAAACACCTCTATTTTGCCTATTGGCCCCATTTGAGACGACCCTGGTGAAATTTCTCGGCTAACTTTCTCCACCTCTGTCAAGCTGACCGAGACACCACCTAAATCTCCACGAGGGATCTGGCAGCTTTCCGGCTCTGCAGCATTTTCCCGACGAGTCTGCTGCACACACGCAGATGCTGACAACACAGTCTCATGCTTGCCTGAGCCAGGGCACCGACCTAAGTGTACACCGTGTGATCTCTACTTTACCAATGCAGAAGAGAGGTCATCTCCTGACACAAGAAAATGGGCTGTCTTCTGGATCACCGCAGCAATTCATCTCTGAGTAGCTGAAGGTCATTAGTATGCATTATACAAGTGGAACCATTTGAGAGGAAAGAGGGAACTCACTGGACACAAAAGTGCACTGAGACTGTGAACAGCAACCCCCGAACAAGGACACAGAGATACATCCCAAAGGGAAAGGCTAGAGGGGGAAGGATGCGACCCAGCCGTGGTGGCTGCTCCGTGGGGACTCCTGGCTGGGTTCGTGCTGCCAATCAGTAGCATTCCCCAGGCAAGACGTGGGCGCCAGGCCCGACTTGAAAGCCAAGGATGGCTTCAAGATCTTGCAACTGGATCAGAATGCTGAGTTCATCGTTGCTGGTGGGCTGCCGCCACCTCTCCTTAGCCACCCTGTTGAAGGATGGCCGGCCTCTCCTGGGAAAATTGCTACATTTCCTCACATAACAGATGCACACATGACTAATCAGGCCTACCCTAAGAAATGAGAGCCAGCAGCAGAAGCCACAGCGCACACTCTGTATTGCGAAAATGGAATGTAGGATGACCTAGGAGATGACACAGATGCCGAACGGCGAACTTTCTGTTTCTATGAGTCTAATCCTGAAAACCTTTTCTGCCTGAACCCGTGGGATCGAATAAAATGAAAACCCCATTCTGCAAACCACTTCACCCCACAGGAAGCAGCTCGGTTTCCTTCCCGCGTTGTCGGGAGCCCTCTGATGGAGGAAGCCTAAATTACAGAGCTCATAACCTAACAGGCAGCCACGGGCTCAAGTGCCCCCCGATTTTCCAGAATTGAAAACAAGAGGAACCATAAAAGAAGCCTGATGTTTTCTCCCCCTGGCACTTTGCCCAGTGAGAGCTGTCAATCAGAGGTGCTGCAGACCCACTCAAAGGTCGTGTTCAGTGCCCGGGGCACACTGCCTGCTGCCGTTGGTTTCTTCCATGGTTCTTAGGGCGCCAGGTCTCTGTCACCTCCCAGCCCCCAGTTTCCTTACCTTGTCCTTCTGCGTCTGAGTCAGGATGCCTGATGGGTTGAGCGCTGATGATCTCATCCTTGTCCCACATGTCCCAGGGAATCCCAGGTCTGCCCTGAGCTTCCTGTGTCCTTGGGAAAGTCGGTGAATCTCTGGGCCTCACTGTCCTCATCTCTGAGCTTGGAGACTTGTAACAGATGATTTCTAAGTATCTTCCAGCTTTGAATAGAGCATTTGTCTTGGGCAGCCAGGCTTAAAGTTTAAAGGCATTAAAGGAAAATGGGATCTGATCCTTAATCAGAACTGCCGAGAATGAGAAGAGCAGAGCAAACTACCAACTGCATTGAGTGAAAAGTGAAAATGGTCAGTGGGGAGGTGCCACAGTCAGGATCTGGGGCCGACGCGCTAGGATCTTGCCAGTGCCTGGACGCCTTTCTCTGCAGTCTCCGGCCTGCCTCCCTGCTGCTCCCTCTCTTCTGGAGCCTGGTGCTGCCAATTTGCCAGCGTCCCATTGACGGTTCCTGTGGCCCTCAACTTTTCCTTATAGCCTCATCCCTGCAGGAGTCGCAGGACCTCAGCTGGCCAGTTGGCTCTGCTTGGAGGGTGCAGGTCGTGTCCTTGTCAGGGAGACTGGCAGCCGCAGTGCTGTGCCTGTCCCAGGCTGAGCAAGAGGCTCCTGGTGCCGATTCTGGAGCAGCCACAGGCCTGAGCAGGTCCCCGAAAGTGATGACATCAGCATGGTACAGCACAGGCTCTGAGGGCTCCACTGCCGCTGCCATCTCCTCCTCCTCCCCCTCTCCAGTCTCCCTCTCCTCCCAGCGCAGTGCAGCCTCCAAGGGCAGCCTCCAAGGTGGAGATACTCAAGTTAACGCGTGGGGACAGGAAAAAGCAGCCACCAGGGTGGAGGGTCTCCCAGCGGAAGCACAAGGTCTGGGACAGTGAGAGGCATCAGTCACCGAACCACCTCACAACTTCGAACAATCCCAGAAGAGCGGGCCAGAGAGTGCAGTGTGACATCACTTCCCATCTTGCTGGGAGACAGGGCTTTTGCCAAGAATGGGCCCCTGGGGATTCGTCAGGCGACATTTTCGTGCCACTGGCATAAAGACTTGTACCAAAGGCTGCCATTCTGGGCAGCAGGTGCTGTCTGGACCCCCTAGGGCTGCCCTCTCTGGCCCCAGGCCCCTGGCTCCTACCACCTAAGCCCATCACATCATCCAAGAGGGTCGGCAGCTGCTGGCCCCCACCCACGTTCGCTGGCTCGGTTTTCCTCTGCAGGGAAGCTGGACTTCCTCCACATCCAAGTTCAACTACACGACATCAGGAACACAGCCTTTCTCCCGACACCTTCGAGCCTCTATTTGTCTCCAGTAGCTGTCCCAGAAATCATGGGTAGGAGCATTCAAAAATGTGGTCCCAGAGGTCCCCTTGCCCTAGCCCAAAAGGCTGCCTGAGCTGGGGATCCCTTCCTTACCCCCCAGTCCAAAAGGCAGCCTGGCCTTCCAAACTTGAGTCCGTGGTTCAGAGTAGGAGATCCACAGTCAGGGCCCGGGACACAGCTCCCCCTGGCTGGTCTCAAAGCCTTCCTAACCCTCCAGGGGTCGGTCCTGGTCTTCCACGAAGTTTCCCAAAAGCGCGCGCCACACTTGGTGGGCGCTCAGCCCCGAAGCGCCTATGA